TTGCGGCAAGATGAATCAATTGAAAATTGAATAGCGCACCAATGAGCACTTACCAACATTTTTTCATATTATTGCACTGAGACTGCAATGGCAACGTGTATGTGTTTTTGCATATCCTTCGGAAATCCTTTGAAATTGTCCAACTGGAGAATTTGTGTAAAAAAACGCAACCGCAGTTCAAATGCCCAACANATGTTCAACGAGGATTTTCAGTTCATTCAGAAATTTTAATTTACTGCAGATTTTCGATTAGTCGCTTCAGTAATTCAGAAATGTTCGTCATTTGTTGTGGCAATGCCGTGTGCGTTTTTAATGGAGTCAAATGAAGTGATGAGCAAGGCATAAATAAATGAGAAGGCTGATGAATGACACCAACATTGCGTGCGATGCGTTCTCAGATCGCAGGATAGCATTGGTGAACGATCGAACGCGAGCTATAATTATAGTCAAACGCTCATTTCCATACGACTTTCATTGTTTGACATTCAGGGCACTGACTCATCTGCCGGATGGACATTACCCTCCTCAGTTGAATAATTGAGTAAAAGTTCTACCCACTCGCCAAATCACTGCTAGCTTTAGAGATCGATCATTCAAGTGGTAATGAGCAATGTGAGCAATCCAAGCCAATTCTCAGTTACCATTAATTTATCATGATTCATGGAATCTTCAGTTGTTAGAAATGGTATCCGTATGATGCAGTGAGAGATCCATATTATATACCTCGGGAAATATTCGTAAAAACGTGAAACTCATAATTTTGTTCATTGTTCTACTTGAAAAGGTCAAAATTTTCCGTTCAACTATGAGGATATTATCGAAGAATGTACGAAAAGTCCAATTGACTGCAAATTTGATGTTGTCAACATCATTATCGTCATCCATATGATCTTAAGGTCATCACTTAGGTTAAGATCACTACGGTGGTTTANGCAAATATGCTAATTAACTGCATTAATACTAGAAGCAAAGACTGATTTGATTACTTGCCTTCGTCACAGGGCTACACACACTCTGCAGGCCATTCGAGAGCACTTAAGGGTTTATTTGTATTAGATGTAATTAATAGTTTAGATCTACAATAATTTATATTTGTTTGTTTTCGTTGCTCTTATTACTATTGCCCGTTACTTCTTGTACCAATTGTATCAATCGACAATTTGACAAGCCAATTTTACTGATGTGAGAAAACACCACGTTTTTGGACTACTTCATGCGATAATTGTCCTTACTTGTTCAGCAGCCAAAGAAACAAAAATTTTATCGAATTAGTAGAGATTTTAATGAAGTCGCATTTCCCTTCAGAGAGTCCAAAATGCCAGAATTTGTGAAAAATTGATTCCACTCATCGAACACCTTCGTACCAACTATTCGGTAATATTTGATCATCTGAGGAGATCAGGACAGAAGTCAGTGTCAATTCAAAGTGAATAGCATTCCACTGTAACAGTGCATTATCGCATGCATGACTGTATATTCTTTCTTTGAATTGTAACTTTATGCACATTAAAAGGAAACACTCGAAGATAATAATACTTTAATAAGGTAATTAATTTGTTGTTCTATTCGCATAGTTTGACGGTCACTCTCTCAGTTCTATTATTATGTTCGATTAAGAAGGGAATCTATCTGTAAATGAATGAATGTATATGAAGAACCAAAAGGTTTATTATAATGATGATAAAAGGTAGCAGTGCTGAATCAATTAAACTGATGTTGTCCTTTGCTAGGGCACGATAATATGGACTATGGTCAGTCACATCGCCCTNATCGTCCTTTTCATGATTGTTTTCGCATTTGTCTCGCTTTAATGCAAATACACTAAACCATTATCATTACGACCATATAATTATAGGTTTTTTACCTCTTTAACAAAGTCTCTTCTACCGATCGAATGAGTAAACGCATAGCACTAACCAAATACATCATCGATGGTCCCTTGCTAATGAATCTTAGGAACAAATTTCAGTTTAGGTTTTCAGCAAAGTCCGTGCTGTTGAATACAAATTTTTTCCCGAACAACACTGACAATAAGCTGATTCACGAAACAACTAGAGTTCATTATACATCATAATCGGATGAAATGACCTATCAACGGAAATAATATTTGCCGACATAATGGGGAATCCCGAATATTCGAAATTTGTTTTGATATATATCGCATCGTGTCTCCTCTCATCAACACTAGATGAAAATTTTTTATTGATGAACATGTTTGTCACTTTTATGCAGTCATTTTCATATCCAAATATTCAGCCATCGCAATGTGTTGCGCTGTTGTCGTCTTAATTTCAAATTTATGCATTTCTGGCTCTAACAATAAGAATGAAGATCGCATTCTTCATTCTCAAACACTTGTCATGTTCCATCGAAACAGAGTGTCATAACATTTTTGATGAGTTTACAACTGCTTAGAATAATTCAAAAATTTATTTTCAATTCACCACTGAGACGTGCTTCACATCAATTCCCAAACGTACGACCACGACGAGTTTATCATATCGATCAAATGTGATTTGTTCAACGGTTCAACTTTATGCATGAGCATGAGAATGAAGTTATGCTCAAAATTTATGAATAATGGAGAATTTCATTAAATTCATTATATTTGAAGCACAACATCAATATTCAATCATTCTATTGCGAGAACTCACAATTGAAGTGGTGGGCGCTTCCGGATTTCTGAACTGAACCTCAAAATCGATCGCAACGCAAGCTGATCATCTAAAAAGCCTTACGATTAATAGTGAATCATACTAAAGCTCATGCTCATACAAGTGTATTAGAAGCAATACATACATAACCAAAACTCAGGCTATATCACAAGCCAACCAGAGGCGAGTGTTAATAGAAAAGTGATTAATTAACTTTGACATAAGGCATTCACAAATTTTATCTGATTCATCAGTAGTATTTAGCTAAATATGTGATGGTGTTACGCGGCCGGAGTGAATTAGAAATTAATTAGTTGAGGAAATCTGGTGAGGGATTTGAGATTATAAGATAGTAATGGGATTGTTTATGAGTTGCGAAGTCATCTTAAGTGGATAATGGATA